ACTGCCGCATGAGGTAATCTCCTACTGGGAGGGCTTAGAGGGGCTTCATGCCTCCTTTAGTCTCCTCTTCTAATCCTCCCAAAGTGGTTGTAAATCTGGGCCGAGTTGTACCTTGTGACTTGGAGAAGAAGCACCGGTTTCCACCGGGAATGCTGGAATCAAAGCAACATTTCCTCATGCTGCAATCCTCCTTGCTGATGGTCGGATTTCCACAGTTCCTTCTCTTATTTGGAGAGATGTCACACTCCTTCTTGTCTGCTGCTGTAAATTGGAGCAGAAATAAATAATAACTAATTATTATAGCCCAAATCTTCCCAAAACTGGTATTACTGTACATCTTGGTTGGTGCTAAACTGGAAAACAATCAAGGTAATAAATGTTCTTGGTCCTCTCTTGAATACATTTAGTGGTATCAGATGGAACATAATTGTTCCACATGGTCCCTGCGTGTGTTGTAAAGTAGCCACCGCTCCAAGCTCACTCTTGTGTGGACTATAATTTCAGTATACTTCTTTGTATTGAGATTGTAGTCCATCATAGGAGTGAGCTTGGAGCGATGACTACTTTACAATACACACAGGGACCATGGGGAACAAAAGTAGCCCCCCTCCAGAAGGAAGGACAGTGTCAGCACCAATTTAGAGATGATTGGAGGATCCACAGGCGAGTGATACACAAATAAGATACATTTTTGTTAATAGTCAGGGCACTTGAATGTATTTCTAAGGTTTAACTCCTGAGTTTAGTGTCACTTTAACTTTATGTAGCGAATTATTCCATTTGTAGTTATCAATATACCAAATCCATAAAATTGCTTTGTTTTTAGATATAAATAAAATTACAATGTATGCCTTTGGTGTGTGTGTGGTGGTGGTGGTGGTGGTGGCGGTGGGGGGTTATTATAAATTTCAATACTTACCAATCTCCTCCATGGTGCTGCTCCCACTGCTGCTTCCACTATGGCTGCCTTTCTTGGCCAGAACCGGATGCCCCAACACAAGGAGAACGGAGAGAAGGATCAATTGTTTTCCCATGGTAACTCCTGGTATCAATCTGCACTATCAAAATTGACCGACTACTTGGGGTGTTGGTATAAATAGGAATAGAGCTGTTTATTTAGTCCAGGAAACATTTACAGAGGGTGGGTTCATGGCTGAACAAATTGCTACTACACCCATTCCGTTCTGACAGCACCCCCTTTATTGCACATCATAAACGTGAAGTCAATTCATTGTAAGGTCATCATTATTTCTGGTGGCAATAAAGATGTGAGTGTCGAGGAACATGTCTTAGTAGCTATTAATATTTAGAAGAAGAGCTTTATGAAACTAGCCAGGCAGCTAGCATTATGAGAAGGCTCTCAGCAATGGCAGCTTTGCAACAGGGTTACTCTAACACACAAACTCTTTTGCAAGTTTGGATTTGCACTGACCATGGCATAGAGTCTGAGGTACTGAGGCTGATAACTAAATATAACTTCAATTATTCTTACATGTGTTATATAGTTACATAGTTGAAAAAAAGACACATGTCCATCGAGTCCAACCTAACTCGATGGATGTGCAGATGAAACAGGTATTTACTTCTCACACATTTGGATACTTGAAGTGACTCTTCACGCAATTTATTTTGTGAAGATTCCCAACTCCTTTAGTAAATCAGCCTCAATATCTCAGAGCCTTGGGAGATACAGTATCTCTCTTTTTACACAATTGGATAATTAAAGTGATCTGCTCTGATCTGCTTTGACAGTAAAGAAACATTTGTGCAGTTTGAGATTATACCACATGTAGTCCAACTTCTTGCTGTGGCCTGGTGTGCTCCTCAAAGTCCCCAAGTCTTCCCATCTTACCTCCTGGTGAGGGGTCAGGAGGGGGGCACTCGACGGGTCGGAGGGAGGGGGCGGGCAAATCGCAACATACAACCGATCGGCAGCTATAGAGCCGCTGATCGGTTGTATGTGAAACAGCCGGCAACGCCTGTAAAGAATGGGCAAGTTCTTCCTGCCCGTGCGAGCGCTAGTGGAAAAAAATGCCATCTAATGACGGCAACCCGCCCGTCTGAGTCTGCCGTCGATCCGTTTTTTCACAACGGGTGGACGGCAAGCGGTTAAATAAACCCCTCTTTTAATTCTACTCACTTTGGTAGCTGCAGCTTGGCATTGCACGCTATTGCTGAGTCTTTGGTCTATAAGTACTGCTAGATCTTTCTCCATCCCTTATTTCCCCAGCAGAGTCCTCCCAAAGAGTATTCTGCATGCATGTTCCTAGCTCCCAACTTTACATTTTTATATATGGAAACTCGTCTGCCAAGTTGCTGCCCAAGTTGTTTGCTTTATTCACCCAATCAGGTTCAAATGCTTTTGACATGTTTGGATAATAGAAATGAATATTCACGCAGTTTATTGTGTGAAGATGTTCAACTCTCTTAGTACTGATCTCACCAAAAGAAGCAAGTCCACCATGGTGAAGAAGCATAGAGCTTTGCAATAGCTGAAGGCAGCATTCTTTAAGAGACTAATGTACAGCGTATACCATCCCTGACATCTGTCATTCAATATCAGAGATGCCTCTGATATTGGCCTGGGAGCAGTCTTGTTCCAGCAGATTAATGGTGAAGAACATCCATTGGCATACCTCAGCCAGACACTAACTTCTGTAGAGCTTTGGGTGGGGTAAAGCCTCCATTCCCAGGTCCACATCATACCTGGTAGCACGATCTCATTATTAGTCTCAGCTGTCCACAGACCTTTATATATGTGAGCTAAGTGATGTTCAGGGCTACCTCACTCTCTCTGCTGCTTGGTGAAAAGGCTGACTGCCAACAGAACACTAAAAAAGGTACATGTGCTGCCTGTTTGTTTTGGGGAACCCATGGGGGGGGCCCAGTTAGTCAGGAACATAAGTTTAGTAAGTGGCTCGGACGGGCAGATGTTTTGTTTGCTGGATGCTGTTGACCTGCTATACAAAGTCTTCCTGCACTTAACTTAACTTAATATACCCCAGTGGTTGACGGAAACCGGGATACAACAAAGACTTAAAATGCTCAATGCAAACAAAGCAGTGGGTCCGGATAACCTGCACACCGAGGTACTTAAGGAATTAAGCTAGGTTGTAACCAGCCCATTAATCCTCATTTTTAAGGACTCCTTAATGACTGGTAGGATCCCCAGTGATTGGCGGAGGGCTACGGTAGTCCCAATATTCAAAAAGGGGGCAAGGTGCCAACCTGGGAACTATAGGCCGGTCAGTCTAACATCGGTAGTTTGTAAAATGCTAGAGGGCATAATAAAGGATTATCTGGTAGAATTTGTTCAGGAAAACGGGATAGTTAATGACAATCAGCACGGGTTCAGGAAAGACCGTTCCTGCCTAACTAACTTGCTAACTTTTTATGAGGGCGAGATGATGAAAGGTGATGCGAGGAATCTGACACTGCACTGTTGCCCTTCTGTTGTCTTGTACCAGTCTTGCCCCTCCCCCGTTCTGCCCTAACATTGACTAGTCGCTGTTGGCCACAATTCGCACGTTCAGACCCAGATTTTCGGCTGACAGTCCAGTCTTTAAACACTTTAACAACAGCTGCTCTTGAACATTTAACCGAATTCTGCTGTTTTGCTGATACTCGCTCCATGGCTCCGAGCGGCAACAATCATCCCACGTTCAAAGGCTGTTACATCGCGTTGTTTACCCGTATTTTCAGAAACAAATCACTTCTACTGTCGTGGTAAACAACCTGCTTCCCTATTTATAATGGTCTGGCCCTCAAGCAACTTCAGCGCAAAATTATTGCTAATTATAGCTAATTTGCCTACAAACGTCAGGTGGTCATAATAAACTGGCCACTCAGTGTATATAGCCAGTGGGACTCCTAATTGAGATAACGCTGTCCCCAGGCATGTGACTCACAGTTTTAAGCCCTCAGGCCTGGGCAAAAGCCCAGCACCTAAAGCAGCAACTCTCAGCTGAGGAGTGGTGAAGACGACCCAACACTGACATGGACATCCGTCAAGTACATACCACACATAGATTGACATGTCAAGAATTGGCAACTGGTAAATTCTTTATTGTTATTAAAGCTCATAAAAAGCGGGGCCCTTTATGACACTACTACATTCAGAACATGGAAGACCAAAAGGGGTTAAAACATAACTACAGTATTGCTATACTTATTTGTTGGACTGAACCGGACTCATCTGAACCAGGGGGAAAGCAGTCAGTGTCAGCTCAATCATTTGCCGCCAGGGCATTCCCTGCCCCACAAATGGACATAAACAAAGAGGTGGGATCAAAGTAATTAACCAAATATGGCCATGTGGCCATATAAGATCAGTGATGTCACCAGCATCCTGCCTCTTTATTTACATGCAGCTGCGAGGTGGGGAATTTCCGGCATTAACAGCTTCCTTCCGGGTTCCATGGAGCTTGGGTTCGGTTGAAACCAAGCTCCTCCTTAACCAGCTTTACAAAGAGCACGGTGTGGTTTTAAATGAATGGGCTGGCTTATTGCAATGCATGTTACCGCGTATCATAATATGCCTGCACTAAAGCACCACAATGGTGTGAATGGGCCCTTTAAGGAGTGTAGGCTGTTCACTTTGCAAAGTTATTGTTAGAGAATAAGGTGAAACTGTATTCACTTTGAATACCAAATTATGCAATAGATTTAAAACAAAAATGCTTCTTTTATTTCCTTCACATGTGATTGGGTTGATTTAATAGCTGTGTTCACTAACTTAAAGGAGAACTATGGTGTCAGTGTTTTTCCCCATAGTTCTCCTTAGGGTAACGGGAGGACACAAACTAGCGTCCTCCCGTTACGCTAAGCTCAGTATACCGCGAGCTACAGCTCGCGGTATACTGAGACGCCGCAGCTGGAGCGGATCCCGACGTAGATGACGGGATCCGCCCAGCTGCGTGAGTGACAGCTGGCTCTGCCCGTCCGTTCCGCCAGTCAGCACTGGCAGATCGGAGCGGGGAGAGGGGAATCCAGCCCTACCCTGTCACGGCAGAGAGCCATGACAGGATCGTGAAGTGAGCGAACGCCGGTATGTGTTCGCTCACCTCCCGATCTACTGAGCCGACCTGTGACAGTCTCATTGTCACAGGTCGGCTAGAACTATGAGGTGAGTGGAAATCACTCATCTCATAGTTCTCCTTTAAGAGAACATTCACTTTGCTAAGTTAAACTGTAGGTATAGTCACACCATTTGGATGAAGAATGGAAGAGGTAAAATCCATGTTTTCTGCATCCTGTTGGGGAGATTTCTCCTCACTTCCTGTCTCGGAGATGCAACAGGAAGTGAAAAGAAATGTGGCTGATTTACTAAAGGCGTTTAGAATCTTCACTTAAGCTAGCTACACACCTATAGATTTTCTGCAGATTTTCTATGGTCAGATGGTGCAACAGATTCCTCCATCTATGCTAAACTGTGTGGATGGAGGAATCTCCCACTGGGCCAAGCTTCAGTATCTTGCTAGTTTGCCCTGCTCGCTCTCAAAATATCTGAACAATGCCTGCATCCAATCAGATTGTTCAGGTATTTTGAGAGCCAACGAGGCCGACTAGCAAGATACTGAAGCTTGGTCCAGTGGGAGATTCCTCCATCCACACAGTTTAGCATAGATGGAGGAATCTGATGCACTTTTCCCATCTGACCAGAGAAAATCTGTAAATAATCTATAGGTGTATGGCCAGCTTCAGCCCACGTTTACATGAGAAGGGTTCCCCTTTGAAAGATTTTGCTTCACTTCCTGTTTTGGATTTGCTATAATTTTTTATCTCAGTAACAACAGTCCCCGGAAAATTTAGAGTAAGCGAATCTTTCCTTTAGATGTGTGAAACCTCATCAAACCGAATGCAGAAAAGATTCCCTTTGTTATGTTTGTTGATACTTTTGGAACACAACCACTTGGGCTCTCATGACATCATTAATGAGAGTTTAACCCTTTCTTGACAGATTGCGCCATTTCCACGACAGTGTTCTCAGCGCATTGCAAATGACTCTCCCCATAAAAAATTACACCACAAATAGCGTTAGTAGGCTTTATATTAGTTTTTATTATTTTTTATTTTTTATGAGTAAAACAAAAATACAGTTTCTTTTTTTTCTGAAAAGCAAAAATCAAATCCAACGCGGGATGTCGTAACCGTTTAATGGCGACTACCTGTAAAATAAACAAATAAACGTGTAAACATAATTGTTGGTTTGTGTAACCATTGTGTATGCGCTTGTAAATCTAACATTTAAAAAACGTAGCGCTGCATATCCCTCAATCTTATTATTTTTTTTATTTGTTTTCCTTTGATAATTTTTTTAATCAATTTGTTTTTTTTTCCCACTTAACTTTACTGCTATTACACAGGAGCTAACAAGCCCTGTGTGATAGCAATTGGAGGTGACAGGTTCTCTTTATTGACCCTGTCACCTCCAATACAGGAGTTCTAGCACAGCACTGACAGGGGAAGACTGCTCTCCCCTCTCACTGATGGAACTGCATGTTCCGGGTGTTGAGTAATTTCACACTGCTGCTGCCGCCTCGCGGCCGGGCCTCGGTGGCCTTGTGGGGAATCCGGGGCTGCCTGCCTTCATGGAGCTTACAATCCAAGGTCCCTATTAGACATGTGCACTGCCAAAAAATTTGTTTAGTTTCGTTTCGTTTTAAATTCGGATTTGTGTTATTTCGTTTTTCGGGATTCGGGTGTGAAAGTCAATTCGGATTCGGAATTCGGACAAAATTCGTTAGCGGTAGTTCGTTCGAACGTTCGTTTCGTTTTCGTTTCTTATTCGTTTCGTTCGTGCGTTTGCAGCAAAGTGACATTTGAGGGGGGGAAATTTTTTCTTCAACGAACGAAAGAAGAAACGAAAACGAAACGAACGTATGAGCGAACTACCGCTACCGAATTTCGGAAACGGAAATTCTGATTCGTTTGCATTCGTTATATCTGTAATTGGGAATTCGGATACATCCGAATTTCCGAAAATTCGTCCGAATTTCGATTCGGAACGAAACGAATCGCACATGTCTAGTCCCTATTGTACAGGCATACAGGGCCTATTTAGAAAGGAGCCAATTAACCTTCCAGCATGTCTTTGGCGTGTGGGAGGAAAGCGGAGTACCCGGAGGAAACTCATTCAAGCACAGGGAAAACCTGCAAACTCCTTGAAGATAGTGTCCTGATCGGGATTTGTACCAGGGATCCCCAGTGCTACAAGGCAGCCCCACTGCAAGGGGAGTTTTTGTTTCTGGCCATAGGCTTTAAGTCCAAGTATGGACCCCAGCCAGCGAATGGGCAGTGAAAGGAGAAACAGCATAGTGATGAGCTCATCCCTCTGCCAATCTGCTCTCTCCTCCTATCGGCATGGTGATTGTCAGCATGTAAACTGAATGGCTCCTTGCACTGCATCTTCTTCACACTTTTGGGCTCCGCTCTTGCAAGAGGCTGATACCAAGTCAAATTCAGGTACTTACACTGCTTATGTGCATTTGATTATATATTAAAGGAGAACTATGAGGTGAGTGATTTTCAGTCAGCCTCATAATCTGAGCCGACCTGTGACAATGAAACTGTCACAGGTCGGCTCAGATTATGAGGCTGACTGAAAATCGGGAAGATCGGGAAGTGAGGGAACACATACCGGCATTCGCTCACTTCTCGATCTATACTTGCAGTGAGCCGTGAATGTCACTCACGGCTCCCTGCAGGCATTCCCCGCCTCCCTGCTCCGGTCCTCCACCGCTGACTGGCGGAACGACGGGGGAGGGGGCGGGTACAGCTGGCTCTGCCTCTGGATAGGCAGAGCCAGCTGTCAATCCCGCAGCTGGGTGGATCCAGACAGTATTGTCGGGATCCGTCCCGGCTGCGGCGTCTCAGTATAGCGCGAGCTGTAGCTTTGGGTCAAGGGAGAACGCTAGTTTGTGTCCTCCCGTTACCCTTAGGAGAACTATGGTGAAAAGCCCTAACCCCATAGTTCTCCTTTAATGAATATAGAGCTGCGCTCATGTGTGTTATTAAGATTGGTTTAGAGTTTAATCAACCAGATGATACATGTATATACAAGCATAGTTTTACTTTTTAAATATTTATTTATTTCATATGAAGACTTTACCATCCCGGAATTATTTATATCCGTAGAAGCACCAGATGGTCTCGGGAATGCTGGAATCGTAGCAGCAGCCTTTGGAGAGACAGTCCTTGGAGCTGATGTTGCGATAACCACAGTCCTTCCTCATCTTGTGGCTGATGGCGCACCCTGCATACAATACAGCCAATACAACATTGTATTTAGAGGAAAAGATCAAAACTTGGGTACATTGGCCACTAGGGTTGCCACCTTTTCTTCAAGCGAAACCCGAACACTCTAGAGACGTGCGGACATTTTTTTGGGAGAATGAGTCGTGACTTATTCATATGTAAATATCGCCACTCATTCATATGTAATTATCATAGTTGAGACTATTTTCAGTGGGGGGCCAGTAGCTCCTATCTTAATTTTGGTTGCCCCTGTCTGCCTGACATCTTGTGTACGGGTTTCTGCTGCCATGAAACCCGGACACAGCATTCAAAACCTGGACTGTCCGGGTGAATCCTGGACAGGTGGCAACCCTATTGGCCACTAAGAAAACAACAAAACACATTCCGTTCTCTTCCTCTTCTAGTTTTTGGAATAGGGGAAGATTTGAGCCTCTTTCTGTGTCAAAATCTTAGAGATTCAAACCTTTCCCGAAGAAGCTATACTACAATCAAACAAGTGTATAGTCAGCTGTAGCGCCGTACCTTTGTATTTTGGCCTGAAGCACCATTTGGACCCGGGAGTGCTAGAATCGAAACAACATCCACGGAGATAGCAAATCTTAGCGCTTATTGTGGGATAGCCGCAGTCCTGCCGCTCTTTGGTCTCCACACTGCACTGGTCTTTATCTAGAAGACAGCAGAAAACAAGTACAATTAATAAACATGAAGGCGCTGTGTGTACTATGCATGTGTCCTATGTATACTATGTATGTATGTAAGTAAAGGTGCAATCAAAATTATTCAACCCCCATTGCAAATCAGGTTTATTGGCAAAATTGCAAACCTGCAGCCCGAGAGCAGGGGCGTAACTAGAAATCACAGGGCCCCATAGCAAAAATTTTGTATGGGGCCCTGTGGTTTCTAGTTACACCCCTTGCAGAGCCCACTTGAGATCCCACACAGCCCACCTATGGGGTGACCCTGCAGAGCCCACCATAGAGTATCTATGGTGGGCTCTGCAGGGTCTCAGGTGGGCTGGTCCACTCCTTACCTGTCCGCCTCCTCTTCCTCCACGGTTGCTGATGGGCCCCCGCCTCCGTCACCGGGCCACCGCCTCCTCCTCCACTGCCGGGTCCAGCCTTCTCCACCACCACTGCTGGCTCTCACTGACTCAGCAGCGGCTGTGGAGAGGAACGCACCGCTGGGTCGCTATGGCGATTGTTACGCCACTGCCTGGGAGATTGCTTATCAACCCACCCCCACTTGAAGCAAATGCAATTTCAGTTCAGTATAGCAGCACTGTAATGCACTGTAGATTTCCTATACCTCCAACTTTCTGAAATCTAAAAAATTGACACTGATTCTCAAAGAGTATGTGCAAAGGACACATAACTCCCCCTGCCCCCCAATATTGATGCCTTTGTTTCACTACTTTTACTTTAATGTACATTTAAAATAATAATTAATTAGAAGCTGGAGAGCAAATTTGGCACATTGTAACACCTTTGTCAGTTATGTTACAAGCCATACACATTACAATGCTTGTATTTCTAGAGGCGAATACATCAGAACAAAAGGAATGACAAATGGAAAAGGAAGACAGAGGGGTTTGCTTCCATAAGACGGACACCTGGCCAGCTGCGGCTCACGACTCTCACTATGCAATAGTAAGACTAGCCAATCATTGCCACTCTGCAAATGACAGCTTAAAGTGTATGTCCAGCCCAAACTTTTTAGGGGGGATTTTATGGAGAAGGTAGAGTAGAATCTGTGTCAGATTTATACTGCCATCAGCTCAACTCCTACTAGGAGGGCTCAGAGTGGCTCCTCTCCTCCTCGACTCTCCTCTGCTAATGCCCCCAAAGTGACTTTAAATCTGGGCAGGGCTGTACCTTGTGACTTGGAAAAGAAGCACCAGTTCATTCCGGGAATGCTGGAATCATAGCAACATTTCCTGTTGCTGCACTCCTCCTTGCTGATGTGCGGATATCCACAGTCCCTTCTGTTAAATGGAGCGATGTCACATTCCTTCTTGTCTATCACTGTAAATTGGAGCAGAAACAGATAATGACTATAATAAGGTTATGTGAGTCATTCAGTCCATATCATTCATTATAGCCCAAAACTGGCTGTTGTTAAAATTGGAAAGAACCAAAGTGAACAATGTTCTCAGCCCTCTCGTGAACAAGTATCAGGTGTTCCGAGACCCAATAGGTGCATACTCGTTCCAGGTCACTGGTCTGCCATGTAGAGAAAAAAGGATATGGATGACAGCCCTGGAGCCCTGAAGGATGCACCTCCAAAAAGGAAGTCAGTTTCCGAAATTCTTTGCAATTTTAACCTTAAGAGGAACTTCACCCCCCGTGTTAATTTTTACTTTGTTCGGTTATCCTTAAAAAACATACTCATATGTCCAGCATTGTTCTGCTGTAATCCACCATTGCATACCCGGTCTTGTGCCGCCATCTTCCTTTCCTTGAGTCATCGGGAGTCTCTACCTGGTTCTTGCAGCCAATCCCCTTTTACAGCACATATGCCCTAAGACGCCTGGGATGCATGATGTAAGTATCCCAGAAGGTGCTACATGATTCTTGTCTACGCAATAAGTGCAGCGCCAGTTTACAAAAAATGTATATCTGGGGTTGTGTAAAAGGAGGGAGGGAGGCAGGGGGTCCCCTATATGTCTCACCGCCTGAGGGCCTGAGGCCGAGAAAGGAAGGGGTTGCTTGCGATGCACATCCTCGATGGGGGGATGGTTAGTTGCTCTGGTCTTGTGGTGGATGTTCTGGGTGGGAGTGCGATGCTCGTGGTGCAGGGCGTCCCGTCTAGCTCACTGACATCATTGGTTGTCAGGAGCTTGACTGGATGGCAGCCAGAGCGTGCCTCTCAGCTCTTGGCAACCAGTGAAGTCAGTAAGCTGGGCGGGACACCAGCCAGAGTGTCACAGGGTGCTAAGAGCTCTTAGCAACCTTGGACCAGCTGGCCGGAACGGGGGCAGGAGGCACACCTGTCACCCCCCACCCCTCCATGTGACCCAATGAGATACCACCTGAGGCAACCACCTCCAGCTGTCTAGCTGTCTCATTATAGGGATGGCCTTGGGGAGAAGGAGTAATATTATGTGAAGGCGAAAGTCAGTTTTATGCACCAAACTCTACCATTTGAGAACTTGCAGACTGTAGTTAACAATGTGTCCACTAGAGAGCACTGCAGATTGTTTCATTTTATCATCAATGCAAGAATTGTCTCATTTCTCAATATCTAATAGAAAGTAAGTGTGTAGAAACAGATTAATTCGGCTGTCAAGAATTTTTTTTTAAATCCACAACTAAAGTATCCAATATGACATACTAATGTCATTAGTACTAATTAGCGCCTAACTCCAGTCTAAACTTTAAAAAAAAAAAAAAAAAAGGGGGAGGGGCCCC